AAAATCAGGGCTATGTTTGCTTCATCTTACATATGTGAACAAGTGTTTTCAACTATAAACCTTATGAAAAATCCTTTCAGAAGTAGACTAACAGACAAGAATTTAGCCTCGTTTCTTAAAATAAGCACATCTCACTTCGAACCTCATTATACGAAACGTTTAAAAATGAAATCGCAATTTCATTAAATATTTAAATTAAAACTTGTATACGTTTTTTTTTTTTTTAGAAGTATCTACTCGGCCCACCAAACTTTTTTTCCTCGATATTTTGCCCTCGACCAAAAAAGTTTGCCCATCCCTGCTCTAGAGAAACAATGGCGCCAGCATCGCACTTTTAATACTGAGTTCAACATCGAGTATTTTATTATCTTTGTCATTCCTACTGTTGTCATATTTACAGCTAATTTTACAATAATTAGTTACAATTAAAATTTGCAGTTGATTTTATTATAATTAATTATGCTTTATTAATGAATAGGGCGCAAGCAAATAAATATTTTTTTCGCTAAAAAAAACTAATGTAGTGAAAATTGTATTAGTTTGTTCTCTTACTTTCAAATTAGAAAGTATCTGTCAAATGCTATAAAAGATATTTTTCCATAGAAAAGGAATTGCTTTCCAATTTCAAAATGAAACAATAAATGCCAAATTTGCCCTTCACTAGTGAAACACCATTCGCTCATATCAAATTTATAATGCAAAAGGTCTGATCCAAGAATCATACTCTTCATAGAAAAAATATATATTCTAATTTATTTCTTACTTATATAAAACGCTACAACACATTAAAATATTTTATCAACTTCATGATAGCATGAATTCCAGTTTTTAAAACAAAAACCGCTAACACAAAAATAATCTGTTAATTTTGAGGTAAAAAAAAAAAACATTCTTACACCATTAAATTATACCCCGCCAAACTTAAATTTTATTCTTTTGATTTTGCACTAAGGGTTGCTATTGTATATAGTAGTAATAAACGAACACCTTTAGAAACTTATTAGCGACGAAAAATAAGAAATATATGTTTTTTAAATTAAGCAAAATATAAAATTAAAAACAATAAATGGTGATAAACAGCTCGTAACAATTATTTATTGAAGATCCTTATAAATTTCAAATGCAACAAAAATTTTAATCTATACTCATTGTTTTCCTCAGGAATTTTTCTTTAAAATTAAAGAACCATTCTTCTTTATTGCGGGTAGCATCTGTAGTAGCTTCTAAAATACCGTATAGTAAATTTGACGCGTAGTATAGTTTCGGGTATATTTTTAAACTAGCAATAAATCACTGCGCAACAAATTAAAACGAAAAGCTGAAAAATAAAATAAATTAATAAGATATATAAATCAATAAATTTAATCAAATTTCTTTCATTTTTTGTTTTTTGTTCTTTTTTTTTTAAATTATAAAACTTAAATAATGTACTTCTTATCATTACAAAAATAAACAGGGCATCCCTAAAAAGATGGTAACCATAACATAATTAAGTGTTTAGAAAAAACAGTAATAATAAAAAGTTCTTAACCAATAAAAATGTTAAAAACTGATAGGTGAAAAAAATGCATAAAAACATCAGACACGACACACCAAGGAAAGTAAAAGCCACATTATTAAGCAAGAAAAAAAAAAAAAAATCAGATAAACATGGAAAAATTTTCTTCCTAAGGAAAAATAAAATAAATGAAAGCAAAAGATATACCTGCGCAATCATCCAAGTAAAAGCACTGAGTCACAACATGACGTCACTGACCTAGTCTTGTTAAATGTTACGTCAAAATTCGAACAATCACATAAAAGGCAATGTTTACTCGTTTTCTAAATATTTTGAATTCAGAATGATTGTAATGACACAACCTACTACAGAATTTTGGTTTTTTAAACTAATCATTTCGTTTTTAAAACTAATATCAAACTTCTAAATATGACGAATTGTATTTTTTTTTCTTTTTTACAATCGCCGAATGTTAACATTTTGATTTCAGATTACTAAACAACAACTAAAAGAATTACGAGGATAACTTGAGGTTAAAGAAACACGACATTTTGGGTCTTGAATATTGTCTTTAAATTTTTATTATGGGATACGCTTTTATCTTGAATTTCAGACTTAAAATATTTCAAACTGTACTTCATTCTATAAATATTTCGTGCTCTTCTCGTCTAAGAAATGATACATAAAAGGTAAAAGATACATATTATAAAAAAAAGAAAAATCCTCATGCGGGGAAAACCCTTTTTCCCACTCCTAAGGAAGTCATAAAAACTTTTATTTTCTTTCTTAATAAATGAGTCATATTATCGGAATCGTCAAACGAGAGGGGAGAGTTTTTGGAGAATTTCTTTCTTTGCTCTTATGATGATTGAATAAAAGCTTATTCACTACAACCCTTGAAGGATCTTGAACTCTGCACTTGCCGCCATCATCAGCATGAATCAGGTTAACGCTCGATTCCAATTAAACTAATCACGATATTCTATGTTCAGTGAAAGAGGAGACCATCAGTGAAATTTAATAATTATCGTACTTATGATGTAATTTACTACTTTAAGAAAAATAAGAAACTAGTATCAAAATAAATGATTAGAGTGAGTTAAATTAAAAAGTTACTCGTAAAATTGAAGTCATAATTTTAGCACTCATTATAAAGATGCTTTAATTGTCTATTTTGTAATGTTTTAATATATTCTTTGAATTAGCAAATTCGTTCATAGTATTTTTATGCACAAATGCTTTTCTTTCAGTTATAATATAGAAATAGTAGAGCGTTTAAAAAAATTAAAATACAATTACTTTTTACAATCAATTACTTAACGTTAAACTGAAATATACTAGTATGATTGGAAATAATTGAAATTGAACATAAATTTTCATTAGTGGAGTAAACTATATAAACATTCTCACTATGTTTAACTGCCCCAATGTCCGAAATTGCGGTAATTTTTCTGTAAATACATAATTTTTTAAAAAATCCATTCCAAATTTTAAAGTAGTTTTTGCAACAAAAAAAAATAGATCCAAATATTTAATCCAACTACTGAGATTTCAGCGGAAAAAAATATTTGTTTTGGCTTAAAATAATTTCTGAATTATTAACAAGAAATTAGTTATATTTGAAATCTTAGAGAAGTAGGTGGCATAATTAGAAATTTTTACTGGTACAACGAAATTTGCGCCACTGATTAATTCTTATTTTGTTTATAAATTGAACATTTTGTACAACTTGGCAAATAAACATAACCACAACGATATAAAATAAAAAATCAAGTATGAAAAATCCAAAAATACTCCATGAAGCCTTAAAAATATATGTTCTGTAAACTGTTAAAATATCAGATAATAACTAAATCTATAACAAATCCCAACAGGTAAACACAAAAATATCCCAGCACTTAGATCACGTGAAGGTAACAAAGTATGTTAGATAAGGTTATCAGAACTGTCAAGCTAATGCAACAGCCATTAGTTCCAAAACAATCTACAAACAATAGTGCATATCTCAAATTGTATTTAACAATTAAAATTTATTACTTAAGTATCGTTTTCAAAATTTCGTTTTGATGATATTGCTTTTCATTACTGGTGAAATAACAAAAAAAGTACTTTCCTTTCTTAAAAAGTCTAAATAATCATTTTTTTTTTAAAGAATAAATTAGGAATTAAAAATAATGATTTGAAAGAAAAAACTTTAGCTTAGAACTTCTAAACAATGCTCAATTTATGCGTGAGTAAAACTAACCCTATGAGTTTAAAGAAGCCTAACTATAGTAATTCGAACCATTTCTCATTAACTAAGTTCTAAGTATACCTTCCTGTAAGTCAATAATGTTTAAAAATTTATTTTACATTCATGACAAGAATAGACTTCCTTAATTTAAGTTTACTTCTAAAATATAAAAAATCTCCATAGATATATTATTCATATCATGCAATATTTTATATTTTAGCTAAAATTAGTGGAGAATACAATTTATGTTTCAAGCCTAACTAAGAGAACTCATGAAAAAAGCTAAGGCTAGTGATATTTTAAATGCCTCTAATATCCAAACACTTATTGAAGTGATAACTATTTAAAAATAGATAAAAATGAGCCACTTTTTTAATAATATTGCCTAAAATTCGGCAAGATCAAAAGTTCGAAATTTCCGAGTGAATTATTAAAATTTTGTTAGAATAATTTTTTCTATCTATAGTTTTTAGATAAAACTCCGAATATCTCAAAAAACACTATAACATTCGAGTTATAAGCTAACTATTCCAAACTTCATATAACGTTTAGAACTAATTTCAAATAACATTTTCCAAAAAGATTGATATTATTCTAACCAATATTGCAGAAATCTAAGCAGATGTTTTTGCAAGATAACGGTTTCGAAGAAAAGATAATTGACATCAAAGTATATTTTATAAACAAAAATAAATCCAGAAAATTTAATTTTCTAAACTCTATTTTTAATTCATTTTTTAATGTAAAATAAGTCTTTCAATTGATATTTAAATAAAATTCTAAAATGGTTGGTTTTTATCTTTAATAATGCTTTAAGATAAAATAACTTAATGATTAAAAAACAATAATTAACAAAACAAATATTCCACCGCCGATAATCCCACATTAAATCGTTATGCAATCAACTCAAAATAAAATTTATGATTTCAAAACATGTTTTAACAGTCTGCATTTATAAAACTTAACTTTCTACAGTCAGATCTTGAAAAAAGACTGCTTTACGGAGAAAATGTGTAACGTAAACATTCTTCCTAAATTCATTCAGTAAAATGTCATTTAGAACCTTTTTTTCACTCTAAGCTCTTCAATTACCAATAACACGAATCATTTGATGGTAAATTAACATAATTCACTAATAAATTAAAACTGTAATAAAAATATAAATTAACATTATTGAATAAGATAAATATTTTAATGATTTAATGTATGATAAGGCAATAGTATAAATATATTAAAAACAATAAATGGAAATAAAACATAATAAATTACCTTTAAATTTATACAAACTAGATTCATATTGAATCAAACTAGGATCTTGTTCCCCATTAGTTCCATTAGTATGATTTTCCATTATCAGCTCCATGGAGCTAATAATGTCAACAAAACGATTCCAAAACAAACACTTTCACGATACAACAAATCAGCTGGAAAGATCGTCTGCTTCGCTACTTATTGATGGGAAGAATCGCTCCCTGTTTACGTGTACACATACAGGTGGTTACGATCTAAAGAAAGTTTTGGCGTGGACACCAGAAATCAAAAGTGAAATAAAAAACAATCCTAAACATGAAGTAGGCGAGAGCCTTGGAGGTTGGATCACACACACTTAAAAAATCAATGTTGTTGACACCCTTTTTTGGTTAGCCGGCATCCAAAGGCCCACGCAAAGTTAGGCCTAATCTTGCATATTTTGGGGAAATAATAAACATTTAACTATTCTAAAATCTTAAAATAACTTTTTTCTTCACATTTTGACGGTCTGTCACCAGGTGACCACAAACTCTGATTCATACACTTGACCGGATGATGCGTACGGCGCCGTGTCTGCACAGCTGATTGCTTTTCTCGGACGGTTACAAAACTCCTCCGATGGAAAAGTTTTTCCGCTATAGGTTTTTGAGAAGAATTGGAGATTAGTGACACCCACTAGTTACCGTAACGCCATCTGGAGAGCTCACGGGAGTTTTTCCGCCAATCAAAGATAATCACATTTACAGCTTCTGTGAGAGAAAGAATGAGATTTTCGAGTTTTTAGCCCCAGAGATATTGCTTTTCTAATTTAAATTATTAGCATTACTTACGGAAAAAGCAATGTTCTTGCAAATCACTTCAATTTTTCGTTTTGTACTTCATTACAGTATTTATCAAATTTTTTTAAAATTTTTTAACAATGCACTTATAATTAAAAATATAAATGCAACAATATTTAAACAATAAGATAAATAATGCTTCAAATATAAATATTTTTTATCAAATCAAAAATATTTACTCAGATAAATATTATTTAGAATTATTTTTTTTTCGGGAATTTTTTAAAAGATTTGTCGTAAAGGTTTGCGAAAACAGTAAAAGAAAAAAAGTTTTTATGAAATGACTTATTAAATATTTTTCAATGAATTTGAATTAAATCGCAAATTTCAGGTAAAATGCTTTGTTGTTTGCGAAGATACGTACGAAAACTATTTAAAAAATATGAAATCAAGAGTCAAAGAAAGATTCCCTTAAAATTCGAGAACACTATTTTGGTTTTGAAAATACTTTCAGTTCCGCGGAAGGGTTAATTTCATAGCATTGATTTTTGAAATCTTATTTATATTTCAATCGAATTAATAATCTATTCAATACTTCGGCTGTCATTATGAAATGAAAGTAAAACGCCAACAAAAAGGAAATTTAATATATATNGATAGATAGATATATATATTATCTTCCTAACAACATACTGAATATATTATGAAAAGGACTTGCATTTATGAAAAATTCTATTAATATTTTTCATCGCGTTTTTCAAATTAAAATAACTAAATTCATTAATAAAGAAATGTTTCCCTGGTTTTTAATGTTTCCTTTGACTCTCATTTCAACATTGACCATAATTTGGCTTTATTGATTATTCATTTTCGCTTATGTCTATCCCAAAAAACAACTATAAAACTTAATTCGATGAATTCAACTGTCAATTATAAAACCTAATTTCATTTCTCGTATTTCATATTTTCTAGTCTTTTATGGGTTAATATTCTCACAATTGCTCTTGTATGCTTTATCATTTATAAATTCAGAGTTTCGCCTTAAAAAAGGTAAATCATTGAGGGTTCCATAACTGAAAAAATTTGGAACCTCTGGTACAATGATACAGAGTTTCAGGCAAACAGTTCTAGGAACAGCAGAATACTCTCTATCATTTAACTGATTTGAATTTAGTCATAATCGAATTTTTTCCCACAAATGCATCATTAATAGAATAAAAAGAGAGCGATTGCACTCTAATCCATATCATACATGACTTCTGAATAAAATTCAAAACTTAGGGATGAGCAAAGAAGCTTTGTAAGTTGACTGTTTCAAAGAGAGAAGGGGAGGAAGAGTCAACGATTCAAATGAGAGTCAAATTTCAGATATTTCGATATATATTTAAATGAGTTAAATTTAGTTAAGTAAAAAAAAAGTTAAGCATTTAAACTTTGTTAGCTGGTTGCTTACAACGGTTTCAAAAATAAAATCAATTATTCAGTTCAGTTATAACTCAATAATAAATTTTGCAGCGAAATTTCAGCCATCATTTATTTCTTCCGAGAATAATGAAAAATCCGAAATTGTTTTCATTAAAAAAGTGCCTCTAGAATATTTTAAAGTTTTATTAATTAAAATTAAAAGGTTAAAATAACGAAGCGTTGCTATCCTAATAAATTAAAGATATTTTAAATTTTTACCATCTTTATCAAAGAAAACTCAATGCATCAAAACCATACTTTTTGAAATGGTATTTTTTTCATGGAATTCGTAAACAAAGCAGTTGGTATGCAGAGGAATATTGTTAAGCATAAACAGGTCGTGATAATTTGATAAGCGTGTTGGGGGGGGGGGTTTAAATCACCACCGTTTCCGCGTATACTAATGGATACTTATGTGTATTGTGCTGTTATCGAATAGAAATTCCAGATAGATTGTAAGCACCTATCTGTAAACATTACTAAGAAAAGGTTTGTTAAAAAAAAAAAGAATGACTTTTCCCAAGCCCTTAAAATACATCAACTTTCGATCAAACTATTACTTTTGGTTTTGTAGCATCTCTACCAACATCTCCAAAAAATAAACTTCAAAAAAGTTTTTTGAGAACAAACAAATTTTGTAGACGGATGAATCTCATAAAATATCTTGGAAGAGATAATCAAGAAATCTTAATCAAAACAAAGGTTTTTCTGTTTTAGATGAAAGTCGGGCGCCATTTTGAGAGTTTCTTATCTTAGAATTTCAATAAACAGGAGATTTCTAAAACTCATCAACACAAGTTTTGTTTCCTTATATGACTTTTGGCAAAGAAACTAAATGTTTTCTAGAGTTTTTCTCAACACTATTCTTTATGTTCTATTCGAAAGGTAAATAAACGAAAAAGTATCAAGTCATTTTCGAAATTTATTTTATCTTATTTTTCCTTATATTTTGACTGACTGACGCTGATAGTTTATTTATTTTAATTATAACCAGAACGTCCGAAAAAATAAAAGTTTCAAAACGAACGATAAAGAAAAAATTGTCCTTTCATACTATCGGCCCAAGCAACGAATGATCCTGAAATGATGAATGCTAATTAAAATGATACACACCCTTTGACTCTTATTGGTTGATATTAGACTTTAATATCGCCCTATATCGTTGAGAACAATCGATATCTAGCGACATTTCTCCATTTCAATTCATTTTACACTATTTTAACATTCATCCATATTTTGCTGCCCAAATGAAATGTTTCAAACACTATCGCATTCGATAAACTTTGCTATAGATAATACTCATAATATATTATATTTATCGTTGTGGATAATGATCGCAACATTATAGTAGTCAACAATTATCGGATGGTCGGTATTTATCGTATGTCATGGTATTCACGATATGGCACTTGAATACATTAATATAAATATCGTTGTCGATATTGTGGAATCTACTAAAAGATATTTCGCGATATATCAAGATATCATCAGTCAGCTCTAATTCTCATAAATCTGACCACTATGTTTGGCAAGTCATTGTATTCTCGTTATTTTTTAGTGTCTAAAAAATAGTGATGCTTGCAAAAGTGAAAAACGATGATATTTGTTATATGAAATATTTACCCCGACCTGCCCCAATTTAGGGCATACGGGTAAATGTTTATTAAAACCAAGAAAAACCGAAAAGTACATAAAATACAAAAAGTAACATTACAGAGTAACATTATGTAAACATTACAGAGTCTGATGGCAACAGCAGTAAAATAATTAAAATGCTCCGAGAGTCCCGCCTTATAGTGCCGAAGCCGACGGGGCTTCCCTTATAGTGAGCCAAAGACACAAATGAAAAATTTTACAACACATCGCAGTGATGTATTCAAGAACAGTAAAACATGAAGTGAACCATTAAAAAAAAAAAAAAAAACGTGTACCTGAAGTGAACATAAGAAAACATTAAAAGGTCACAGGTAAACGGGGGTCCTAAGTTAATATAGGTCAAAGAACCAATACAGTCGATGACAAATTGACAACAGGTAAGACAGAAGAACAAGGCGTAATGAGCCAAGAAATTCTCACATGTAAAACAAAAGGAGGTGAAGATGTAAAGTGGTAAAACCTTGGCCAAGGGTAAAACAAACAATTATCAAATACAATTAAAAGGCGACGCTAAAATTTGCAAAGCAAGGATAGGCAATGTAAATAAGCCAATTAAAAAGCACAATGTAGTGAATAAATAGATTAAAACAGAATTAAAAAGCGAATGAGATAGGTAAAACAACAAAACGTTGTCAAAATAACGGGAAGCGAACAGGCGGGCAGCCCAACAACCGGGACTGAGTTTAGTTCGTGTAGAGCGGATCCAAAATGTCATCAGGGGCGAGTGCGTCCTCCAGGGTGCGTTTAATGATGTTTTTAATAATTTGCCTCTGTTTATTACTCCTGCACCAAGATCTTATGTCGCCTCTTCTGTCAAAACTATTTCCCCTAATGGTTGCAAATTTTTGACAGTCAAGCATCAGATGTTTAATAGTCTGATAGTGACCGCAATATTTGCACGCAGAGGATTTTTGAAACATCCTAGCTTGGTGATCGCCAAATACACCATGGGAAGTTAAGAACTGATTAAAGTAAAAATCGCTGGATAAAAAACATTCGTTAACTGTAGGTATCAAATAGTGTGTGTGTCTCCCGTTTGCAGAGCATATTTGTTATGTGAAACACTAATACGTCTTGTAATATAACTGATGGAATTTTTTTTCGCGTTGGCAATAAAAAACTTAAATATGAAGACATTGAGCAGTCATAAGTAGGAATGTACCGGGTACTCGGCCACATTTTCTTTCATTACCCGGACCTGGCAAAAAAAATGTACAGAATACCCGGACCCGGTTTTTAGTCTCAAGACTAACTGTAACTGTAACTGCAGAGACAACGTTTAGAAAATGACATTCATTGACGTCCGCATAATCGTCAGAAGGATTTTAAATTCAAGCATCGTAATAACATATTTAAAATAACTTTTTTCTTGAAAATATTTTCTGGAAAAAAAAATAATAATAACTCTTGAGAAAATTGTTGGTAAACATAGTAGTTGAACGATGGAATAGTCGCGAATAAAGCCACGCCAATAGATGATTATTCAAATTCGAAATTCGTGAGTCGAAATATCGCATTAAAAAATCGGAATTTAATAAACTGTGTTGAAACGGGAAAATAATCAAAAAATAACTCAGAAAAAGAACAATTCATAAGCGAGATGGTTTAACGGCGGAATCGTCGCGTATTGAGTATATCAAAATATTATTACTTAAGTTTGAAATTTACGTGTCGTAATAACATTGTATTGAAAATATCAGAATTCGGATGACTAAATGCCGTCCTATCGAAAAATAGCTAAAATGACT